AGCGAAAAAAAACAAAGGAGAATAAAGATGATTTCATCCCTAGGTACACATCATCCGCTTCAATAGGCTAGTAAGCAATCATAAAATTGTGAAAGCAAAGAAATAACATAGTATAAAATATCTAGAATTGGATAGATTTTGACGCTCCTTTTAGGAAATAACTAGAATGATTGCCTACAAATAGATATGAGAGCCAAAAAATTTACAAAGACAAAAATCCTAAAAAATCATAGATAATATTTTGTTTGAAAATCCAAGTTGTTTTCAAATTAGGACAACAAAATTTATTTAATTATTATAGAAATTTTGAAAGACTTTTCTTTCCTTTTGTTTTTCAGTTTTTCATTAAGTTGATTATCACTTTTATGTGTATGTTCATAAGCAGTGCGAAGATTGCTAGAATGCCAATACGGAGTAGACTGTTAGAAGGCTCAGACAAAACAAATGAAAGAGATCCAAATCAATTCAGAGATACCGGATTGAGAAAACCGCATCTGAGACAAGTGGCGGGAAAGCCTTGCTGTTTTATTTATCCAAAAATTTATATGACGAATAGTCGCTTTTAAAATTGAGGGATAATTAATCCTAAGCCATCGGATCTTTTCATGTGATTCTATAGTATCTACAAAGGGTACTTTGAAAGGTACTTATGGTCAATTATTTGATACTTATAGGCCTTGGCAATCTAGATTGGTTTGTCATCGTAGTTCCAATAAGTGCTTTATATATTCTCTATGTGATAAACTAGCCCAGATTTTGTCATTCTTAGTTGTGAAGGAATTTCATAACCTAGTCGCATCGGAATATCTTCCTCAAATGGAATAAGATTTCATTGAATGAGATGACTGAGCTGGCATAGGCAAGAGGAAGCTTAGTCTTTGATAGCCAGTTTGCGGTAGATGCCTCCGAAGAAAATATTCAAAGATAGACAACCAGAATGAAACATCGCTACTCTCTAGAAGATCACAAAGTCTCTAGAATGATACTTGGATCATTTGAACCAGCGGATAAAATACTGACAAAATTTGATGAGAAAGTTTTGTTGACTGTGTGATCCAAAATCTATTTAGTGGAGACAGTTGGTTTGCTGTAAGTTCTCACAACAAACATCAGGTTCCATTACGATAGAACAATAACCATTAATAAACATGATCATCGTGAAATTCAGCTTAAGGATTTAATAAAATAATTCATATGAATGTATTTTTTGAAAAAAAAAAATAGTTCTAATTTTTAACTTTTATATGGTAGATCTTTCATGTTTACTTGTTGATTAAATACAATATCAAAGTGATGTACCAACCTGTATGCTAAGAAAGCTATAAATATCTATAAGAACATGGAATATTAGATATTTAGATCTTAATAATGTATTAACAATGTTTCATAATTTATTAAGATTTATTAAAAAAATGTAGTATGCAAGATGAAGACTAGAGTTTTACAAATCAGAGTAATTCAAAGTTCAGGATCTCAGCGTTGTCTTTTCCTTTACATCCACATATTAAAAAGCTAAATGATATGGAGTGGACTCTATTCATGGAAAGCATGAATAGAAGAAGAGCAGGTACTTGAGACTAAGGTTATCACAAACGAATGGAGTCTTGAAAGAAAAGCTCACGCGCAAATCCTCTTACTAAACATAAACCCTTTCGCTGAAGAAGAATTCAAGTTAGAATTATCTGTGGACGAATGACATCACAGAGAGATGAGTCATCTCGCGTAATATGCTTGAGATATAAGCTATCTGTTATTACTAATAATCTACGTGTGAAATGGTCATTCAGATAAGAATTCTTTAGCTCTTATTTACCAAATAATGCAATAAACAAGAAGGTCAGATAGCTTGGATGAAAGATAGTTGAGAGATGATCAACCTATTTTCATTGATGGTTCCATATGTGGGAATTTGTAGGTTAGATGTGCATGCTTACTATACCATGACTATATATGTTATCATTAAGATTTAATTTTATTAAGTTAGTTGTAACTCGCGTTAGGTAGCATATTTAAGTCGAATATATTAAAAAAAATTAGAAGAAAAAATGGATTGGATTAAGGATTCAAAACTTTATTCTTTTTATCATACTCATCCTTTTCCGCCACATTCTTCCGTCATATCATTGTATTTCAAAATTTCGTCCCACAGATAGATATAGATGTACTCTCAATCCGTTTTGAGTTTTAGTTCAAAGATATTTTCTTGAATCCATACGCTAATTAGCTGTTATGCTATCATGCGCCTAGCCACAATTCAGTGTCCATTTTCTCCATGTTTATTCTCCAGAACCCTTCTGTTAGTTTTTCTGCCTTCTTCAAGGTAAAGTGGACCAAATTGCCTAGTAATAATTAATAAATCACATAATCCTTCAGACCCCTATTTTATTTCATCCGCTAAAAATAGATAGTGAATCTAGGTTATTACTTTAGCTAGAAGCTTGTATCATTTTCTGCAATATAGTATTTCAAACTAAGAAAATTACATTACAAATACGACATGCGTCAATACTTTCTTTTGAATATTCACAATTGAATCAGATTTTGAAAAACATATAACAGATGAATATTAAATTTTGGATAAAATAAAAAAGAAAGAAATTAACTAAATTATTTCTTTAAGAAAATCATAACTAAATTCATGGATTAGATATGTATTTTGTCTCTTACTAACTAGCACTTCTATATTTCTTAGTGATTTCCCTAATCTAATAATTTTAGTTTTTCGATATGGGAATTTGTAGAACTAAAAAATATTGATGATTAATTGAAAAATATGCGAGAAATTTATGTTGCATAGTTAAATACAAAAACTCAAACCTCCATGTTATAAAATTAAATCTGTACAATCGAGATATAATATGTATGTGCAACAGATAATAAATAAAGGAAGTGCAGATTTTTCTTCTATAACAGCATTTTCACAACAATTGTTCAACGAATTTGAGATGAAAAAGAATTTATTGCTTAAATGATCTTAAAAAATAATTAACACACACAACACATAAATAACAACGGACATTCAAACCATTTATCAAAAATGAAATCGCAAAACATTTCAAGTTCTTGATAAGACAACTATGTTCAATCTTGCTCAAAATCATTGGCATGCATTGCAATTTCTCAATTTTATTACACAAGTATTTTTGTCAAAAGTTATGTCTGTCATTTTATTTGATAAAGGATATCAGTATTCATAGTAATAAGGATATAAGGAGTAAAGGACAAATTTCACACATTAAAGTAAAGAATGTAAAAGTCAAAGTGTATTACGTGTTTCAGAATAAAAGATAGTAGATTCGATATCTAATAAAGATGTAAAGTGTTCATCAAAATCATCCAAGTAATTTGATTATTCATGATAATATGGATGGAAACCCATGGATTTTTTTAAAAAAAAAAATTAAATATATTAAACTCAGTTGAATATCATGATTTTCGTTTTTTTTTTACGTTGACAAGGTAAGTCATAACATTCTTTAATTCACCATCAACGTCTTGGCAGATTTTTGAAAGGTTTGAAAGTCTTATTGATGAGAATCCTGAAGGCTTGAATTTAGAATAAAATAGATTGTGCTATAGAGTTTTTCGTGTTCCTTTGAAAGGTGTGTATATCGAAATACACACTGCAAGCTTAATAACTAGATATCTAACTAATTCTATGAAGCCTTATGGAAAAGAAGTACCAGGGTTTTGAAGATTGACAGTGATTTACACGACATTAATCATCATCGTTTGCTTAACTTTGGACAGTAAACTAAGAAGCGGATATTAAATATATTTTTTAGTCAGTTTGTACATATAGGAGTGTTTTCATATAAGAAGATCATGTTTGTATGGCTGAGCATGAGTGTTTTCAGATATAAAGATGGTACCACAAAAATTATTAGTAGTATTCTTATTCTTGCATTTGAAATTACCATATCTCTATACCAGATTCTGATTTCTTTGTTACAGCGATTCAATTTGTTCATGCCCTAAATCTCTTCTTGATAGATGAGTATGATTAAGTAAATACAGAGATATTAACATAGATCATATTTCACTTTTATAATGGAACGACAGAATTAACTTACGTTAATAGTCAAAGTCAATCTTTCATGATTGCTGCTGTGTTGATTGCCTTAGTACCGTGATTACCTCCGACGAATGTGGCAAGACAGTCGACGACACTGAAAGCGGATTTAATCATCAGGTCAACCACTTGTATCGAAATACTGACAAGATGCAGAAATTTCTATTTTAATTTTAGTGCTATCACAGTCTCGTCTGAGGATTAATGTTAATCCTCAGACGATTATGAGTGTGGTAGTTCAGGCAATTTATGAGTACCTACATCAAATTATGAGTGTGGTCCATTCATTTAGTATTGCAAAGCTTTTCGAATTATCGATTGCAGATCCATCTGAATCGTAGACCTAGTTAGTCCTTGATAGTCACTGGATAACTGGAAACAATCTGCAGATCAATAACTAGGAGTGACCTGTGTCCATGTTTCGAACATCAACAGATCCAACAGAATTGTCATCGTTCGTGATCGGCAGTCCATTCACGGCCCTCTAATATATTCAAGCTACAGCAGATCTAACTTTTCATAAGTATAAAAAAACAAATTCGTTTAGGTGAAAGTGCGAGGCCTTAATTTCACAACTGCCACATCACATCCAGATTGAACAGTGCATGTTAGGATGATTGATTAATGATCCATTTCGAATAGAATCAGATAAGAATAATTGCGTTTGTAAGTCAACAAGATCGCTAGTTGGTTGTGGTCATTTATTAAGTCCCCATTGCCCTTTGGAGAAGAGCCTAAAATTTTGAAGGCGCATGTACCGCAGTTGCAGTTACTTCACCAAACTCTAGGGAAACGCTTGCATGAGTTCAGCAAGTCACAAGCAAGCATTGGTCATATATCTGAGTATGGTTCATGATCATGAGGAGAAACGTATAAAATCTTTTTGAATAATCTTAACGTGTATCTTTATACCCAAACAAACAAATAGTCCTAGCGAGCTGAACGAGTGACACTGACACTGCTAGTGGGTTTTCGTCACCCCGCTCGATTCCAATCGTCTCCCTTTCTCCATCGCTATACGAACGACCTTATCATTGACATCTTGTCAATGAAAGCTTCTGTTTAGCTTCGAGGTTTCCAGGCATTGCTCGTCATGTTCCTTCCCCTTTTCTTTATCCATTTGAACATCAGAAGCAGCAACGTCGATTAGCGTCTCTGAAGGTACTCCTACGCCCTTCTGAATTTTCAGATTCTCTTAAGCAGCCTTGATTGATTGGGTTAACCTAACCCTCTTGTTTAGAAAAAGTGATGCCTTTGCCCAGTTCTCTTCTCTGCTCTCTGATACCTTGTGTTATTCATCTTGTATAACAAATCAGGAAAAGGAGAGATAATAAAGACAAGTTCCTTTGTCAGGAATATAAGGTCGTTCGCAGATCATGTGCAGCGTCTGACATGTTTCAGCTTTGTACAAGTACTGTTTCATACATGATTTGGAGGTGGCTTGATATTCAGTTGCTAGCGTCAAGACACCATTTCTTGAATCCTTCTGCTTCAATGTCAACTGAAAGAATGTTGGTTCTGGTCCTGGATTGACGAAAACGCCTGAATTTGGCAAGTACAGGCAAATGCATCTTTCATTCGGCCACAAAAGAGGTCTCCAAAACTGTCTTCACGTGAGCTGTTGAGATCAGCATGGCCTCAGAAATTCCAGGGCAGGACGAACAAGTGGTGGAATCCAATAACGTAAAAAGTATTCTCCTCGAGTTACAAGAGCTGCATAGACTTGCTGTGCCCAAACTTCTGATCAACATTGTGATCTACGTGCAGACTTTTGTATCTGTATATTTCCTGGGGATGCTTGGGCAAAAAGAACTGGCTGCAGGTTCGTTTGCAGTGGGCTTTGCCAACATCTTTGGCTACTCAATCTTGACCGGGTTAGCTCAGGGCATAGAATCAATATGCGGACAGAGTTTTGGCGGAGCCAAGTTGCCACTTCTCGGCCTGGCATTGCAGCGAATGCTGATTATCATGATGCTCTGCTCTGCGTTTTTGTGCTTACTATGGACAAACGTGGTGAGCCTGCTCTCCGCCTTCCCAGGAATCGACCTCGACATGCTGAACTCAGCTCAGACTTACCTGAACTACTCAAGGCCAGATCTATTCGCCAAGTCCCTACTTCTCCCCCTGGAAATATTTCTACGGTCTCAGCAGCTGACACAGCCAGTGATGTACACCACAACCTTCTCAGCGCTGCTTCATCTGCCCATAAATTTCCTGCTGCTTTATAGATTCGATATGGGGCTGAGAGGAGTGGCACTGGCCATGTCCTTGACAGACTTCATCCACATAGGCCTCCTGTCCCTCTACTTACAATGGTCTGGAATCTGTCGACGTACTTGGATGCGCCTGGACTGGAAGGTGGTCACGAGCCTGGGGCCCATGCTCAAACTTGCATTGAACAGCTGCATAGCCGTAGCCATCGAATGGTGGTGGTACGAAATAATCCTCTTGAGTGCCAGCTTTCTTCCCTACTCTGAGGCGTCAGTGGCCAGCATGGGGATACTCATTCGCTTGACGGCGCTTACTTATATGCTTCCCTCCTCTCTGGCGGCGGCAGTTTCCACGAGAATTGGCAATGAGCTTGGTGCTAATAAGCCGGATCAAGCTCGCATCGCCACTTTGGCCGCCACTGCTTATTCCTTCCTCTGGGCTTTTGTGGCGTGCAGCTTCATCATTGCGATGCGGAACAGCTGGGGACTTTGGTTCACAAAAGATGCGACGAGTCTTGATTTGACTTCCAAAGCGTTGCCCGTTCTGGGTCTGTGTGAGATTGGCAACTACCCGCAGACAGTTGCGTATGGAATTCTGATGGGCAGCTCGAGACCCGATGTGTCGGTCAAGATCTACTTTGTGGCTTTCTATCTGGTCGGCTTGCCAACTGCCATGATTCTGGCGTTCTACTTCGGAGTGGGACTCGTTGGCTTCTGGTACGGGTTACTGGCAGCTCAGATCACATGCGCAGCTCTCATGCTGTATGTGGTCCTTCGCACCAGCTGGGTCGAGCAAGCACATCAAACTCAAGCCAGACTTATGGCGTCAGAGTGTTCTCATCTGCTACTGCCGCAGGATCAAAACGCACTGCTCCTGGCGTGACGTGCACTGCACTGCACTTCACTGCCCTGCCTTGCCTTCTGCTAGGCCACATCACGTGAGAAACTGGGTTTCATGTTCATGATTTTGTGTGAAGGATCTTGCGTTTATCAGCTTCTTGCTTACTTCAGTTGGAGCAACTGACCTCTCATACCATCCCACTTTCACTGCCAGCAGATGCGATAGCAGACATGCTTCAGTGTACATAGCACACATAAGTGACTTGCAAGTATTTCTTGTGATATTACGAAAGATTTAAGATCAATTTGTAAGAGAATTTATCGAAGGATTGCAGCCATAGGAATGACTTCTCGATACCACATCTCGCTGGATTCGTCACCAGGATTGCATACACCTATCCATGAATGTCATGTTTTTTTTTTAAAAAAAGTTATTGAATTCTACAGATTTATAGCTTCCTTGTTTATCTTCGTATTTAACATGTTGACTAACATGCTGCTCCAAAATGTTCCAACATGCAGTAAACCATATGAACAAATATACTTTCAATCTAAATTCATGTTTTCAATTTGTACTCAATCATATATTGACTGGACTGAATGCAGTCCAGTAACCTAGAGATGTCTTCTGTTTTCTCTAAAAGTTTCAATTTCGTACTAAGATAAATATTCTCTCTTCAACTTGTCCAAATTTTCCCAAAAAAATAGTCATCAGAACATATCCTCAATCGACCTTTCAACATTAAGCCACAACTCAACCATAATGACTTGTGGTTGAGTAGTAGACAAACTACATGGTTTGCTTCAGTTTTATTTAATGTCAGCGCTGATCTTGAAATTGAATAAAAGTTGAAAAATACATCGTGTAATATTTAGATATTGTATATTGAAATCTTACAATTCTATTCTTTTCAGGTCAATAAAAATCTCAAAATACATCTGTTCGGAAAAATGTTATACCGTCGCCCCATTTTGTTTTTCCTGCGACCCAGTCCGGTCTCAAAATTTGTGCCGACTCGACAGCGCTCACAAAATAAAATGAAATCCGTACAATTTTGACAATGTTCTCACATGTGAGAAGCGCCTTACGCCAAAAACATAATCCGATATTAGCGCAAGCTAGACAGCTGCCAAGCATTCTAACCATGATAACTCACAAATTTAGCCCACCGATTGGATCCAACAATGAAAATAGATGTGAAGAGTGAAGAGAGTTCATGCTTTGCAGGTATAACATAATAAAAACCACCTTGTGATATAAACACAATGTACATCTTGGCGTTTGTTATTCTGTCTCAGTCAATTCAAGAGGCGTCATGCGACATGAAGAGCGGCAGCCATGTTATTTTTGGCGTGCTTGAATTGGATTATGACGTTCACGTAGCTCCCAGAATACCTGCTTAAACTCTCCACATCTGCACATGAAACTTGTATGTTAAGGTAGTTCTTTGGCAGTCATTCAGACTCATCAATCTGGATGTGAGTATCGTTCCTTCTATACTCCGATTGTTATTTAAAAATCATTGCCTCGCATGCTCGATAGAGCTTTGACCATTAACAGTCAATTCATAGATAAGAAAACCAAATCTGAAGAAAAATATCCTCAGGGTAAAGATTTGTAATTGGTATCACCATATACAACTTCATCAATATTCAACTAGGGGTCATATCAAGAACGCAAAACAAATCAAAGGAACTCAAAATCATCTACTTTAATCATCTTCATAAAAAGCTTGCATAAAACTTGCTCATGAAATTTGTGGTTTCATTGAGTGATTAAATGCAATTACTGCTAAACTCTGATAGTTCGATCTTGAGCTGGATCTAGTTTATATAGAAGGATCAAAATCAATAGCCGAAATATGAAAATACGCTCCTGAATCTATGCTCGAAACCTTGCTTGTACCACGATCTTCCGTTTTCTCTAGTAGCAGATGAAGCCACCGGGGGATCACTGGACTGCACTCGCTTAGCCTACATCTGAGTCCAGAAATTCCATTCGCTTCCGCATAGTCCATCTGAGATGAGACGAAATTTTCTCCGCTCTCTGCGCACTTCTGATTTCATCTTCCGTGACGAGAACCATGTGTGCAGGCATTTCAGGACCATCTTGGCCCAGCTCTCCACAGAATATAACATTCTCACCTCGACCCACAAAAAGTCCCAGAGGCCGATCACAGTAGAGACTATTGACTATGATTCTCTCGAAAACGTGCTGGAGGACAACGTTGCCAAATTCGTCGAAGGCCGTCAACACTCCGACCACGACTTTCGCGTCACGAAGGAGTAGAATCACCTTCTTGTCCAGATACGACGTAAAAGAAGGCGCAGGACCGATATAGAGAAGGGGCGCTGCAACAATCCAAGTCATTGCGCATACACAAGCACTTATATTCCAGTCTCTAAATCTCAGTGATGTCTGAATCTGCCTTCTCCTGGTGAGCTCGGCGCAGCTCAACTCAGACTCTGCAGTTACATGAGACCAGATGAAAATTTATATCCCGAGCAAAGATTGATCAGTGCCCATGCCAGCGTTCTCGGATTACCATCTGATCCGATGACAAAGATACGTCCTTATGCAGAACCACAAAGCTCGTGGATTTTTTCGATTTGGGCCTCGAAACTCTGCAATGAACAGCGATCATAGACTGTTGACCGGTGACCGAGTATGAATCTTATCTACCTCATAATCAACTATGTACTCTCAAGAGAGAGTAAAGTTCGGTTAACCCACAGAATGATTGCATGGGGAGACGGTTTCTTCCTGTCCTTCCCCGCGCACTGTCATGATTGGGGTGATCGGCACGTTCGTTCTTGCTCCAGGCATGAATCGGATTCGGACCCGTCTCCTCTGTCAGAAGTCAAGCTCAAGCATGCAAAGGCCAGTTGCGGCGGCCACTGCCTCACGAACATGGTGGAGCTAATAAATTCCATGAGCCAAAGCTGTGTACCAGCCAAAGATCACAACTCTTTGGCTGGCTGGAGTTGTGATCTGTTGAAGTCCGGTTTTGCAGAGAGGAGTGTTCCCCCACGTGGAGTCGGAGCGATTGTAGTCAGTGAGATCTTTGTCCACCTCCTGGAACTATGGATCGAGAGAGTGGGACTCGGTGCTTTACTAAAGCACCGAGTCTCCGCTTCAGTTCAGAGTTCGCTCAGCCTGCTCGATAATGGATCAGTAAACGATCAGTAAAAAGATGGTTCAGACGTCGATGGTTACTTGACTCCAGATCGATATTCAACTTTTCAGACTCCCTCTGTACTTTCTGTCCCAATGTTGCCAATTCAGTGATGCCACGTGATGCCGATTGGCCATCAATCTGAGGTTCTAGAGGACTCAGATGACGCAGCTAATGGCGATTCTCTCCCGATCTTGTCCCAAAAACTCAAACGCCGGACAAGATTTGTACTTCTGAGTCGATGAGTCTTAACTACCTCACATTGGCACACTGTAGCACGATATGGAATTCTTATGACTCCCGATTTCAACGGACTCCGTTATTTCGCACGCTATGAATTGTAGCCACTGCGTTATTCTTGAGAGCATGCATCAGCTCTGACAGGATTGGAACGGTGCCCCGTAGATGATGCAATATTAGATGACGATGGGGACGTGGAATGTTTCTTAACTATTGCCTCTAAGTTCGGTTAAGGCAAAACCGTAATTTCCCGCTTAATTCCGCATTTTCAACTGGAGCCGTTAGTCCGCACTTAGTTGGTAGGTGGTACTGTCCAGTATCCTTCTTTTTGCCTTCGGATTGAGAAAAATTTGGATTTTTCCGTTAAATTATTTTCGATGGTGTTGCCATATGTCGTTTATCTCATCTTTGGCTTATTTTCTTTCATGATTCAAACGCAAATGTTAATTTTTTGATCCAATATCGAGGTAATACATGATGGCGAAGCCGTACCATGGACAGAAGGTTTCGATCTCGACTGTAGCTATATATATATATATAAAAGGACCACAACTCGAGATTTGAGGTACTTGATGTTGAAGTTAATAGAACTATTTTGGCAGTTTGTTACCCGATGGATCAAATTAAAATCAGATGGTTCAATGCAATAAATTACAAATAAATGTATGTAAATACAACAATTGGATTGAGAAGATGATTTGCTACGAGCACTACACATTCCATACTTCAGTGGTATACAAGGCCATAAGGATTAAAATAATACAATGAAATATATTGGAGAATCAAACACTAATCACTTGAATTACTATCTGGTATTTGTTTTTATGGTTCGTTGTTTGCTCTTTGGAGAATTGCTGCTTATACTACATTTTCTTGTATCACCACAAGCATTCAACTTTTCAAACGATTTTATAAAGTATGATGATGTGTAGTAATTGAACATAGTAAAAAAATAAAAATCTTCTGAAGTAATCTTTTAATTTTAATTCTTTATTTATATCTTTTGATTCTCTTTTTAATGTATTACTTTTTTCTTTCTGGATAAAAAAAATTTATAAAATTAAATCAAGTAAACATATTACTTTCTATATCTTGCACATGATATATATATCTAAATGTTCTTTAAAATTGTCTTACAAATCATCAAAAAAATTTTGGAAAGATAATCTGCATCGCAATAATCGTTTCTAACGGAAACTTTAAAGAAATCAAATCTATTTCTAATCATTTCAAGTAATTGAAATGCTTTTCATATATTTTAAAAATTATAATATTAACATTACAAATCCACGTTGGTTTTCAAAAAAATTGCAGTTATCTGAACAATGTTTGTAGTTTTCAAGTCCAATTTCTAAAAACCAACTGGCTTGTAGATTCATTTTTCACATTAATGGTATAAAGATACTACAGATATCCTGTCATTTACTTTTTTCTTGAAACCATAATTCAATTCTTCTAATGGTTAAGGATAATAAGAGTTTGAAATCGAAATAAAGTACTGTATGGATACAGATTTCATATTATAGCCAAAATAAATTTTACAATAAAACATGTAGAAGCATATTACGATGTAAGAAAATCTGCAAATCAATTTCCAGATATATACATATAATATAGGACCACTCTACTAGGATTGATTTCTTAACAATACACAACCAAAGATGAATTTGAATAAAGATAAATATCGCTTGAAGATAACTTCACTTAAATTAAATTGTATAATTCGATACGAGTCATTAGCGTTACAGGATAACATCGAGTGCATCCAAATTTGCACGTGTGCATGAATACAGGCCATTAATTAAATTAGTTATGAAATCGTCTTTGACCAGAGTCAGATCTAATAGGTGACGACGAATTCTGCGCGAGCTGAGTTCATTAGTTACACTCCGACGTACGGTTCCTGCCCTACGATATCGAAGAGTACGATACTCCATACCTGTTTTCAGTTGAGCTCTTTCACCTGACCATGGTCCACCGACCTGAAGTTCCGTTTCACCAGCCGCTCTGACGCGATGCATGGCCGAGGCCTCAGAGAGTACGATGTTGTAAGTCATGGCGCAGTCTTCGAGAGACTAATTCCCGAAAGTAAATCGTGCAGAAATTCTTCAAGTTGGATAAATTTATCGGGTTGACAAATAATCAGCTCATCCCTAACTTGCTGGCCATATTCTCAAGTATTATATTGGGAAATCGTTGCTGACCCCAACCCTTAAAGATAGTAAGTGGCATGATTCTTTTAATCCTTCTTTTCCATGCTTTGCCTTTGCTCAGCGACACGTAGGACTACACAACTAATTCCAATTCCCGCCATCTGACAGAGCATACTCAGCGATGTACCGTATAGTATATAGAAAGTATACCGTATTTTGCAAATGGGTAAGGGAGGGAACTCCGTTGATTCATCGTAGATTCGCTTCCGTAGCCCCGAGCGCGACGACGAGAGGTACGGTGCAAGGGTCGTGATGTTGTGGGCTGCTTGAGATCTTAGATTCCGAGGAGCGAGGGCGAGACGAAGATTTGGAGGGGCTTGAACTGCGCTCATGGAGAACCGAGCGAGCGCCGCCCGAATCTCTTCACTCTGAAGCGACTCACGGTTCGCCATTCGATCGCTTACTATCGAAACGTGGAGCCATTTGTTCGGGCTTCAGCACGCAGTAGACTTCAGATTCCGACCATTGGACATCGATTGATCGATTGCTCTCTCTCTCTCTCTCACAGTCCGAGTCCACCGGCTTCGACGATTCCGGTCGGGTCCGCACGACCTGCCATTTGATCTCTTGCAATCAGATCACATTTAGCTCAATTCCGTATGTCGCCAAGGTCCCTGGGGACGCAGCGTCGAGTGTACTCCGTCGGCGGGTCTGCGCTGTGAAGCAGCCGCAAAGTGCATAGCTCTGGTCCGATAGTCAGATAGCCCGTCCAGGTATTGTGGATCTGGAAGCATCTGGACCGCAAGTGCATCCCAAGCTCGCAGAGTTGCCTTCGACAACCGTACGTAGCCAGGGAAAATGAGAGAGTGTATATCGATTCACATTGGCCAGGCCGGCATACAAGTTGGCAATGCGTGCTGGGAGCTTTACTGCCTCGAGCACGGTATTCAGGTACCGTCTGAAACCCGCGCTGAATGATTGAGAATTGCAACTTCAAGCTTGAAATTCATCTACAATTTGGAGAGTCTAAATCAAAGTCCACATCCGTCTCGAAGAAGAAAGAAGAGTGCAATTTGTGAACTGAATCAGACAAACAAAAGGATTTCTGCCAGTACATTGATCGAAGATTACAAGTGCTTACTTTACGTGGTCGTAGTGAAAGTGTGTAGTGACGGTGAGTCTAGCTCGCACACGTTGCTTTTCTATACAGTTGTGTGCTTCAGATGGGGCCCAGGCCGGTCCGTAGCTTGCTGCATCTGGGTTGCATGCATTTTGTCTGGTAAGACGGAAAGAGGATTGACGTAGTGCCTGGAGATGCATTGCATGGGCCATGCGTGCAGCCGGACGGCCAGATGCCTAGTGACAAGGTTGCGGGAGGAGGAGATGATGCGTTCAACACTTTCTTCACTGAGACAGGATCCGGGAAGCATGTACCGCGTGCTATATTTCTTGACCTGGAGCCCACTGTGATCGATGAGGTGCGCACAGGCAGTTATCAGCAGCTCTTTCATCCCGAGCAACTTATCAGCGGCAAGGAAGATGCTGCTAACAATTTTGCTAGGGGCCACTACACAGGTTCGTTCATAGGAAGGCAGATGTAGCAGTGGCATTTCGAATCGTCCTTACATTCTGATATGATTAACAAACAGTTGACCCTCTTATTGCTTGCAACCTATTACGGGTCGGTCAAATGTGGCGAACCACATCTCCCATTTATCTGCCATCGCCAGCAGCTTAACCGTGGTATTTCAATGCTTATATTTCACATCAGATGAAAAATCACAGCTTGTTTGCATTGACTGCTAGGTTATTTAGTTTTAAGAGATATGATTGCAAATTGATTTTTGGTGGCTAATTTGCTCTTCTTCTTTTTTGCGCATGATTCTGTTATTTGCCAGGCTGCTCATAGATTTGCCGAGGCACAATAATGTTACAGCTTCGGTTGGAAAAACAGTATCCGGAGCTAGACTTAGGCTCAGAGGCAAAGGCAGGTGCAAGCTTGCAAGAAGAAGTCACTGCGAGCATTCAGTGAGAATTACGGATAATTGCTTACAACCGCTCTCAAGCCGAAAAGCAGACTTTATGTTCGCTTAGCGCAGATGGAGTATCTGAACGTAAACATTGGCCCAAAGAACGTGGTCCCAAAAGCTCCAAACTCTGCACCCTTAAGCTTCAGAACTTCTCATGTGACATGACAGTGATAATAGATTCTGAATGCCAGTTTTGATAAACTTTCATGGAGATGTAAATTATGCACCTTTAATCAGAACAACTCATTGTGATGAAGACTTCAGTGCATAGACTTCAGGAAGCATCAGCTGATGATTTGCGAACTATCTGATACAGTCATTTCTGATGAATCTGACAAGAGGTGCTGACCCTGTAATGCAGTCGGCAAGGAGATTGTCGATCTCTGCCTCGACCGAATTAGAAAGCTAGCCGACAACTGCACCGGGCTACAAGGATTCCTGGTCTTCCATGCTGTGGGAGGCGGCACCGGATCGGGCCTGGGATCGCTGCTCCTGGAGCGATTGTCTGTAGACTATGGGAAGAAATCGAAGCTCGGCTTCACTGTGTTTCCCTCTCCTCAAGTCTCCACGGCTGTAGTCGAGCCCTACAACAGTGTTTTGTCCACGCACTCACTGCTGGAGCACACTGATGTTTCTGTTTTGCTAGACAACGAGGCCATATACGACATCTGCCGTCGCTCTTTAGATACGGAGAGACCAACTTACACAAACCTGAATCGACTTATTTCACAGGTATACGTCCATCCTTTCTGCAGCACTTTACTTCGTTCGATTGTTTCATGCTCGCGCACGAGCAGATTTGTATAGCATTCGAGCTGGACGCGATACAAATCTGACCTATGTCTTCATGCTTGCATGCTGATCAGGAATATTGCTCCGTGGGCACTTCTGATTGCAGGTAATATCGTCACTGACAGCGTCATTGCGTTTTGATGGCGCTCTGAACGTGGACATCACAGAGTTTCAAACGAATCTCGTCCCCTATCCTCGGATACACTTTATGCTGTCGTCCTATGCTCCAGTGATATCGGCCGAGAAAGCTTATCACGAGCAGCTGTCGGTGGCAGAGATCACCAACAGCGCATTCGAACCGTCCTCAATGATGGCCAAGTGCGATCCTCGCCACGGAAAGTACATGGCCTGCTGTATGATGTATCGCGGAGACGTGGTCCCCAAGGACGTGAACTCTGCTGTTGCCACCATAAAATGCAAGAAGACCATCCAGTTCGTCGATTGGTGTCCCACGGGCTTCAAGTGCGGCATCAACTACCAGCCTCCGACTGTGGTTCCAGGAGGAGACTTGGCCAAAGTGCAGCGTGCTGTCTGCATGATTTCCAACTCGACGAGTGTTGCTGAGGTGTTTTCTCGGATCGACCACAAATTCGATCTGATGTACGCCAAGCGTGCTTTTGTGCATTGGTACGTGGGCGAGGGCATGGAGGAGGGCGAATTCTCCGAAGCCCGCGAGGACCTTGCGGCTTTAGAGAAGGATTATGAAGAAGTAGGCTCGGATTCCTTCCACGATGTATTTGAGGACGAGGTTGGAGACTTTTGATCGGCGGGCGGCGGGCGACCCCCGTGTGCATGAGTGAGCCACAAGATCTTCATCCGGATCCGTCATCGATTTCGACATTAACCCATAGGAATTTTGCAGGTGCCTGAGTTGAATCTGAGTGCCTGAGTTGAGTCCATCTTGAATTGTCTTGCTTGCTCGTAAACCTTCATCGCATCGAGTCTCGACAGTTTTCTCTCTTCTTCCACTTTCTAATTCCGATATTTCGGCTCGTGACACAACGTCAAATTTTGACATTCTTGAACATGTTTGTGTCTTGATCTACTCGTCTCGTCACGAGCAGTACCCAAAATGAACAAAATAGCTATGCTGACATAGCCAGATTGATGGAATACGGCAACAGAGTTGTATTTGAATGAAACCAAGGGTCGGAAGTGTGTTCTATTGAAGCTGAAGTAATACAATACAATAGACGTTTTGCTATAGATACGTATTACATTCTATTTATGAGCATTTGGGGACAATTTGAAAAATTCATAAAATTGCTAGATAAAATTAGATTATCTAGTTATGCATTGTAGGTCATGAAGTAACCAAGCATGTTCTTTCGAAGTATAGAACAAATTTTAAAATTTTCTGCAAAGTTATAAAATGCTTTGCTATCGCTAATTCACTCATGTGACTTTAAACCAGAATATTTGAGTTCTTTACAAGAATCTTATAAAATTTCCATTTCAACTTCTAAGAACAAAGAAATGAACTTTTATCATATGTATTTTAACGAAATTAATAATTGATCTCGCTTTATTTTATTGTTCATTCAGTATACTGTATAGTCATCTGTTTCTAGAAATTTTAATTGCAAGCATTTACAATTTACATTGATAAAAGATTAGTTCCAAACCAGATATAATTTTATCCTCAGTTTGTGACATACCACAAACAAATTTCATACCAAGTATACATATTAATTATCTCATCCCCAATGTCATTCTAGTCAATAATTATAAACCCTACTTAAGAATTTGACATAATAGTGAAAAGAGTAATACTAATGATATTCCATAAATAAGAGTAATAAACAAATGAAAATCAAGAACATTTGCAAAGATTAAAGAATTCAAAAATATCTCAAATTTTTATACCCAGATCTTTGATGTAAAAATGTCTATGATAAATAGTACAAGCATGTGAGATACAAAGGTTCAAAAGGCTAAAAAACACAATACAAACAATCCAATTCCAACCTAAGAGAAAACCAAAAGAACCCCCTAGCTAGTGCCCAAAGCACTAGAACGGTAATTAATAACATCCTTAATTCAACAACGTAAATCATAAAGCTCAACCTGAAACAAATAATAAAAAATTTCAACAACTTTATGAGACACTCTAATCTCTACATATCTAGTACAAGTAAGAAATACATCCTCAACAACCTTACTTCCATCACATAGCCTACAAATACGTTCATTCATATCAATGTTCAACCAACGTACTTTTTCAAAACCAAGACTATGAGATACTGTTCTATGCCTAGCAATAATATGACGTAAAGAGGTAAATATTTGTGCAAGTAAATATCCTTGCTCACAATAAACAAGCATATGATTCACATGAAGTTGATAAGATTGTAGTAACCCACTTTTTGTTTTTCGTCGGAACTAAAACATTTTTGAATAGTAAGTACCGTGGTAGCAGCTATAAATAGTAATCGATACGCAAAGCCAGAGTAAAAAGAGGATCGAGGACAGTCAAGTGGTTTTGGGCTTAGGCCACAGTGGAACGCTTGGAATGGAACGGGCGGTTCACACTGCAGGACTCACTTCGAGCACCTTCGGCGGTAGATCACTCATAACTTCCTCAATTCTTAACGTCTTGAGTTACTTAGGGTCTCGTTGGAAAGAACTTGACGCTCTGGTTCTAACGAGCTCAAGAACGCCTGGAACGGATGAGCACTCAGGGAGTTGTGACTGTCGGAAGATGCAAAGGAGAACGCCTACGGATGGGCGGAAGGAGTTCGTCGTCGGCGGAATATCCGCCTTCGGCCCTAGATGTTCGCCTTCGGCGACGGACGTCTTCGGGTCAACTTCAAGTCGGAAAACTCGGGATCGGCGAACTCGAAGTCGGCGAACTCGGAGTCGGCGAAACATCGTGCGGGCGCCTTCGGCGATAACAGATAACAAGCCTTCGACAGTGTGCCTTCGGCGAAGGATAAAACCGGCATAACTCTTTCAACTCGTAACGGTTTCACTCAATTAAGATCTCGTTAGAAAAAACTCAAAGCGCTCGTTCCAACGAGCCCAAGAACTCTTGAAACGGATCAAGGATCTGTGAGTTATGGGTGTCGGGAGTGACTGTTACAAATAGGCAAAGGTGCGGAAGTGCGTCTTCGGCGGTCAACACCTTCGGCGAACTCGAGGTCGGAGAACTCGGAGTTGGCGAACTTCAAGTCGGCAAACTCGGAGTCAGCGAATTCGGGGCCGGCGAATTCGAGGTCAGCGAACCGGATGCGGTTCAGAGATCTTGTGGAGTCCATATCTTTGCGATGGACGGTCGGATGGATCTGAAATTTGATGGGGCCGTTGATCTCAGTCGGCCACGCATGCCTGCAAATATTCAGCCTCAGATCTTGGATGTAAAGACGCTGGCGGCTCTGTACAGTAGGCTTAGGATTTAGATTTAGGGTTAGGGTTAGATTTAGGTTGTAAGTGAGAGGGGAAGGCAGCCGCCGACTCCTCAGGTGTAGAATATGTTGCGGCTTGCACCCTAGCGGGTAGCGCAGTGTTAGTTAGGACCTTAGAGGGTATAAAGTAGTTCAAGGCGTTTTGCCTTGGGATTCTTCCAGTTTCGGAAGTGCAGATCAGGAACTCACTTTCTCGGCGTGTTTGTGCATTTGGTCCTGGCACCACGTAGAGGAGCTACAACTTAGTGAAGTTACCGCATTTTGTAGTTGAAGGCCTTCGGCTGAATGTTCAGAGCTAGTATACCGGTTAGAGACTTGAGTAGTGCGGATCTGCACCTGCGGGTGATTTCTGATGCTCAGAGCCGGTTGCGAGTTAGATACTTGAACAGTTCCCCCTTACACCTTTGAGTGACATATCCTGATTGTACTCCTACGGGAAGTTTCCCCTGAATGCCAAAGTGAAGTTTTGTTACTTCGTGTAAACCTTGGTTATCAATTCAGGTTATGTGTGTGTGTTACTGGATTGTGTCTCAGTTGAGTTCTCAGTCAGACCTGTACTCTCTGCACTTAGTGTGAGTCGAGGGTGACGTCCACCGCGTATGAGTGACTTCGTCCCGAAGTGGGAAGTCCAATCCGGGTTCCCTACGCTAGCAGAAACTAGCGGGAGGGTTGTAAAAGCCGGAGTGGGAGTCACTACCTACAGAGCCTCTGAGTGTACTTTTGAGAGACTTTCCCCCTGAAATCCCAAGCGGAGGTCCTGACCGACCTCCGAGTTGTGCTTTTCCAGTTTCAGGTGTGTGTGTGTGTGTTGAGTGACTTACGCTGCACTGTGCATCCTCCGAGCATCCTCCGAGTCGAGCATCCTCCGAGTGACCTCCGAGTCGAGCATCCTCCGAGTGGCCTCCGAGTTGAGCACTTGCAGTATTTTTGGGAGTGACAGTCGCCTGAGAATTCAAACTCTCCAAATAGTCTGTTAAATGTGACACTTTGTACTCTTTGTGTTGTCTCTGTCCCTGTGGGTTCGACCTTTTTACCACCATACTGCAGTTTTAGCCTTTGGTGGGTTATCACAAAGATTCTATTTTAATGCCTCGTCTGCTCCAAATAATGCTAAGAAATTCCTCCTTGATATGCTCACTTAGGGCAATAGGTTTGCAAATCCCAATAGAGTTCCGTCACATTCCACCTCAAAGACCAAGTCATCATATCTACAAACCACCCCTTGATATGTGTGGCACGCAAAGCTTCAAGAGTAAGTCGAGAAGCATCAAGAAATCTCACTCTTTTGACGTAAGTGATAGTAAAAAAGAGAGCTTCAGCCTCAAGAGGTAGACAACATGTTTTCGCAAGAAGAATTGCATATGAAGTTTGGGTCTTCACATCCAATTCTCCTTTTGCACCCTCTTCAAACGCTGCCAACCTGTCTTCTTACAACCAGTACCCCACACTTATGTTCCATATAAGATATCAGGAAACACTAAGCTCATGAATAAGAATTTCCTAAGACTTCAAGACACTAGATGAGCTGTGGTACCCCACTTTTGGTGTTTTTGTGGAATTTAAAACATTTTCGGAAAACTGTACCGCGGCAGCAGTGTAAATAGCCATCGGTGCATCAAAATAGAGTGAAACTGGATGATCTCGGAGAATCTCGTAGAATCCAGGAGTTGGGCGCAACGTCTGGGACAGACGCCGCGCTAAACAACGGGCTCTGAAGGAGTACCCCTTCGGCGCAAGGCGCCTAAGCCGCCTTCGGCGCTACGCCTTTGGCGCTAGAAAAATCCCTTAGAATCTGATCAATTCCCAAACGCCTTGACTTTGTTAGGGTTTTGTTGGAAAGAGCTTGACGCGCTGATTTTAACGAGCCCAAGAACGCCTGGAACGGATGAGGACTCAGGGAATTATGACGGTCAAAAGATACAAAGATCTTTGCCTACGCATAGGCGAAATAGGGCTTGACGTCGGCGGGGTGTCCGCCGAGAATGCCGCCTACGCATAGGCGGGGAGGATTTGCACCTACGCATAGGCGAACGGAAATTGCCTACGCATAGGCGCTTCGGCGTCGGCGGGAAGTCCGCCTTCGGCCCTAGAAATCCGCCTTCGGGGTTGGAACTTGTACGGCGCCTTCGGCGGCAGCGCATCACGGATGGGCGAGGACCCAACGGAGTAGTAAAATCCGTACGGACCGTACGGACTGTACGGACGGAACGGACGAGTGCGCCTTCGGCCGGTCGGGATTACGGAGACAAGAGCGCCGACGGAGAGGCGAGAGAAATGGACAGACTGGACGGAGTCCGTTGACCGCGGTCAACGCCTTCGGCACAGCCGCCTTCGGCGCTGCGCCTGCGGCGAGGGACCTGCGCGGACGAACGTCCTGTGTGCGGACAGAATTCGCCTACGCGTAGGCGAGCGCCTACGCACAGGCAGATGAACATCTGCGACGGCGGAAACTCTGCCGGGGATTCCGCCTACGCAGAAGGGAGTTCGACTTTTGTCCTATGCGCGGACGAACGCCTTCGGCGGAGCGGGACTAGCCAAATTGAAGTACGAAGGAGTGTAGCGCGCCGGCGAGAAATCCGCCTTCGGCGCTGCGCGCCGATGGCCGCGGCGTGATACGCTGGCGGAGTTCAAATTACCAATTCAAGCGTGGGAGTGAAGTCGGCGTCGGCAGAGCGTGAAGCGCGTGAGAGAGAAGGCCGTTATACCGCGGAGCCGGCGCGGCCATTAAGTGATTCGACCTTCACGACCGAGAGCCGACCATGACCTCCTACGAGGAGACAGAGGACGCCCCATTCTTGAATTTGCGATTTCAATTTCTGGTGCGAGCTGCGCGCGTCCACCTGCTAGCTTAGAGACATTCTATACATCACCGCGCGGAGAGTTACTCGGTGGCTGAAAGAGAATTGAGTGCGCGACAGTTGGAATTGAGAGAAATTAGAGTTTGCAGAGGAGGCAGAAGCGCGAGCAAGAGGCTCGGGCAGAGCAGAAAGAGAGTTGCGCAAACCAATT